TGCCAGCCACTATTTTGGATATTTTTAAGTGTTATTTCATTCTTGTGAAACCCCTTTCACCTTTGAAGTAGTTACTGTTTCAACCCCAATTTACCCGCAAGGAAACTGAGGTTTATTGAAGTAAAGCCACTTGCTTAGGGCAAGAGTTGGCAAACTGTTTCTGTAGAGGGGCCGGTAATAAATATTTTAGTCTTTGTGAACCACAGGGTCGCTGTCACAACTACTCAACTCTGCTCTTGTAGTGCAAAAGCAGTCCTGGATGGTACATAAATGAATGAGCATGTCTGTGTTCCAATAAACCTTATTGACAAAAATAGGCAGCAAGTCAGATTTGGCCCTTGGGCTATAATGTGCCAGCTCCTGGCTTTGGGGCTCACACAGCGGTAGTTAGCTGAGTAGTGATGAAGCTGGGATTTGACCCCATTTCGGGAGGAGTTCGTAAGCCTGGCCATATTACGTTATGAAGCTGCCATCACCTCCTTTCATTCACATTAATCCACTTCAGGAAACAGACATGGTATTTACCTACAATTCATTAAAACATTTTAATGAGTTTGATATGTGCAACTTTGGGATGATGAACAGCAGATACTGGAATATCCTCTCTGATTTCTAGGCTGGCACTTTTACAGAGCAGAGCTGGTACGGAATAACATAGTTACGGGCATTAATAATAGAACGCCGGAAAGAAGAGAAGATGGAGACGTTCCAATGGTCTAAACTGCCCATAGGACGAACCTCTCACCCACTGGGCCAGGGCTCATAACAATTAACAGAAACAAGTAGAAAAGAACAGACTTTCATTCCCTTTATTGGTGAGGAAGCTCCCATATTGAGAGGGAATTGATACATTTTATTGGGAGCCAGTAAACCCTTTGGCATTTATCTGTAAGGCTGCTCCTGCTGCAGACTGTCGTATCTTGTGTCTCTTCTCCCTTCATTTGGGAAAATAAGAAAAGAGGTTTCCTCTTCAGCAGATTTTAGTGAAAGCTGGGTAGGATTAATTACTAGAAAATACCATGGAGATATGATTGTTGTTTATTTTATGTTCATGTGATATACTTCTCTAAAGTACTAAAGAAGACACTGTGCAGATAACTTCCTAAAACTATTCTAACAACATACCAAAAGTTTCTTAAGATATTGAAATATATTGCTAATTGTCAAAAATTGCACCAATTAGGGAAGGGAGTGTAAAATGGAGAATAAGTGTCTTGGCGAAGTGGTCTGTGTAGAAACATGTGGATAAATTCAGTGTTGGCAGAACTACCTAATTCAAGGATTCTAATCTCTTAACTTCCCAGCTAAACTGAGGGCCTGATAGATTTAGACAAAACCAAGCCTAAGACAGGAGGATCATCAATCTCAAAACATAGTCCCACTAATAGCCCCAAACCTTCAGTTATGCTCATTGAAAGGTTGCCATTTGTGCTGGCTGACTTGGCCCATTCCCCATACAGGATCAGTAGCGTGGTATAATAATACAAAGTTCAGGAGCTAGAGGGAGCAAGGGGCACTCTATTGGCCTACTTTATAATCTGGGCTTTGCCGTTTCAACCCCAAATGTGCTCCTTGAGATCATCATGGCTATCTTCTGTGGGGAAGAGATTTTGAACCTTGGCTATCTTCTGCGGGGAAGAGTTTTAGATTGGCTGGCCAGCAGGACAACTTGTATGGCCAGCAGTAAGGACCGCCATCACTTGCTAGGATCATAAGTGTAACTGTGGGATAGGCCCCAAGTGTAATGGAGATTTGACTCCTTTTTTAGAGCTAAGGATATGTCAATGTATGGTGGTTTGAGAGTTAAAGATACGTAAGTATGAAAATGGTTAGTCAAAACCAAAATGATGATAACAGCTACTATTTACTAAGCGCTTGGTATGCATCTAGAACCATGCCTAGGATGTCATGTGAATTCCTTCATTTAATGTTCATACCAATCTTAGACAGTAGGAACTATTACTGATATTTTCTTGAGAGGAACAAAACGGGACCCGGAGAGGTAACTTCTCAAGGTAACACACCCGAGCGAATCGTGGAGCTAGACCTCAAGCTCGGGAGTCTACATCCAAAACCCACCGGCTTCATCACTGGGGCACGTAGCCCTCCTGACTCCTGCTACTGTGGTTTTAAGAAAACCAGTTTTTCTTAAGAAAAGAATGTGTTTGTTTTCTTAAGAAAGAATGCTTTAGGAATGTGTTTGTAGAACTTTGTAGCCCATGGGGCAGAACGCACTGTTTCTGATTTCTAACTCTGAATGTACCCGGGGCCTCTGGTGTTCTGAGGGGGTCTGTTCCACTCTACACAAGGAGGCATCTTCCGGCAGGCAGCAGGCACTGTGAGCCAGGGATGAATTACAGCGTGTGTCTTTTGTGCCCCACAGTTGCGGCTCGATGAGGCGCAAGAAGCTGAGTGCCAGGCCTTGAGGCTACAGCTACAGCAGGAGATGGAGCTGCTCAACGCCTACCAGAGCAAGATCAAGATGCAGACAGAGGCACAGCACGAGCGAGAGCTCCAGAAGCTGGAGCAGAGGGTGTCTCTGCGCAGGGCACATCTTGAGCAGAAGGTACGAAAGCACTACTCTGGGTCGCGCACAGCTGCGCGGAGGATGGGCCCTGGCCCAGGGAGCTGCCCTTCGCGGAGCCCGGCCCCTGCACCTAAACCGGGCGCTGTTCACTCATTATCTGCTGTTACACTCCTAGGACCCCTGAGAGGTAGGCCTGATCTCCATCCCACAGGCAGGATACTAAGGCTCCAAATGCTGAAGTTACCCGCCTAAGTCTGACCCCACAGCCTAAGTAAGCTCTTTCTATTACCCTGCTAGGAAACCCTGTGCCTTCACAGCCAGGAGAACAACATGGGTCACCCGGTAGTTGATAGGACACATGTGAAAGGCACAATGAGCGGATAGCATGGCTGCTGAATGGTACGAGGAAGCCAGATGCGGATTTGTTTTTTTATTTCCAGCTATTTCTAAACCGAAAGAAATCACCAGCAGGGCTCTTTAAAAGAAATTAAAAGGAAGAGAAGCTGATATTGCCCCGCATAATAAATGTTATCAGAAGTGAAATAGTCATTGCTGTAAATATTGCTGAGGAATAGGAAGTAGAAAAGATTTCATAAAGCATCTAAAAGCTGTTAAGCATTTATTTGCTTAACCAGTTATCTGTACCTTCTTCTGATACTTCCCCGAGACCAACGTAAGAGACTATTTTCACAGCTCCTGTTCTAGAACTAAATTGCTAATGACCCAGGGGGCATTTGGCTCTCTATGGGAAAGCAGCACAGTCTAATTGTGCTTGAGTGTCTTTTAGCTTCTCCTGAGCCATCTCCTGCTGAGACAGGACACTGACCCGGATCAGCCAAGCTGCTTGGTCTGCTAAAATGATAGCGCCGGCTCGCCCCAGGCGGGCCCCAAACATTGTTACTCTTGTGAGCAGATTTTGAATATAATGGACTAGATACAAGACATTTATCCCAGGATTCTCCCAGCCTTCCCCAGTCTAGTTTACGCTTAGTTCCTGGGTGTGCGTTCGTCACACGTGTGCATGTGTGTGGATGTGTGTGTTTGTGAGCGCCTGCAGGGAGACCCCTGCCACTAAGAGCGGCTCCTTGCTTGTGCTTTTTTCAGATTGAAGAAGAGCTGGCTGCCCTTCAGAAGGAACGCAGCGAGAGAATAAAGTACCTATTGGAAAGGCAAGAGCGAGAGATTGAAACTTTTGACATGGAGAGCCTCAGAATGGGATTTGGGAATTTGGTTACATTAGATTTTCCTAAGGAGGACTATAGATGAGATTAAATTTTTTTGCCATTTACAAAAAAAAAAAAGAAAAAAAAAGAAAAAAAAAAGAAAACAGAAAAAAATTCAGACCCTGCAAAACCACATTCCCCATTTTAACGGGCGTTGCTCTCACTCTCTCTCTCTCTTACTCTTACTGACATCGTGTCGGACTAGTGCCTGTTTATTCTTACTCCATCAGGGGCCCCTTCCTCCCCCCGTGTCAACTTTCAGTGCTGGCCAAAACCTGGCCATCTCTTCTATTCATAGTACACGTCACAGTATTGATGTGATTCAAAATGTTTCAGTGAAAACTTTGGAGACAGTTCTAACAAAACAATAAGCCAACAACAACAACAAAAAAGTGGGTATATATTGCTTTAAGCAATCACTCATTACCACCAATCTGTGAAAGTAAAGCAAAAAAATAAAAATAAAAATAAAAATAAAAATAATAATAATAATAATAATAATAAATGCCAAGGGGGAGAGAGACACAATATCCGCAGCCTTACACCTTAACTAGCTGCTGCATTATTTTATTTTATTTTATTTTTTTGGTATTTATTCATCAGGAATAAAAAAAAACAAAGTTTTATTAAAGATTGAAAATTTGATACATTTTACAGAAACTAATTGTGATGTACATATCAGTGGTGACATATTATTACTTTTTTGGGGACGGGGGGGTGGGCGGGGTGAAGAGATCTTGTGATTTTTAAGAACCTGCTGGCAAGAGTTTAACTTGTCTTCAGCATATTCTGATTGTATCATAATCATTTTCTGCTGTTGCAGAGGATGTGAATACACTTAAGGAGCTCACAGAATCCCAGTAGCACAAATTGGGCTTTGGCAAATCGTGTATTTTGTGTATAGAAGGAATTTAAGGAGAGGTATTACTTATTTTCATATTGTATTTTAACTGTTTCTCTGATCAAATTTTTTTACTTCCTCCTCCTATTCCTCCCCACCTTCCTCCTTTTCCAATTCAGTATTTGGAGTTCAACACTGTCTCTCAATCAGATCATCTGGATCTTTTTCTTTATTTCCCTTCCCCTCCCTGAGTCCCATAACTTGGTCATAAATATTGCATTATTCACACTTTCAAACTGTGTATTTTCTTACAATAAAAAATGATGAAAAAAAAAAGGCTTTACTTCTTTTGCATGCACTTTAAAAAAAACAAAACAAAACATTTTTCAGGTTCCAAGGAAGAGCATGATAACTGTCAGAGCTTTTAATTATATTTGTAAATAAAAGTGTTCATCACATCGCCTTGCTGTGTTATTGTAGCAGGAAGTTTCCCTTCTAGGTTCACCAGTTTGTAATTCAGAGGGAGACCTGCCCTCCAGAAATCATTCTCCGTAGCCCTGGTTGCTTCTTGAAGAAGAGCCATCCAAGACTTTCAGGTAAAGCTGTATCTTCCAAGTTCTTCTACAGGGATGAAGATAATGTTGCACTGTTTGAAGTGGTCAATTGCTCCTTTTTGCCCTTTAGAAAAAGGCACGTGTGCATGCATGTGCGCACACACACACACACACACACACACACACACCAATGTGCCAGTCATACTTAGGCACATACACTGCAGAGAAAGAAGCAAGCTATTAAGGAGAGATTATGACCAAACATGTGAAATGATCCCACTGTAATAGTAGATCCCCTCAAATTCTGATTTTATTAGAATAATTTTATGTACATAACAATGAGGTGATAAAATATATAACTTTTTTTGTAATGCTTATTTATTTTTTGAGAAAAAGAGAGAGACACAGGCAGGGAAGGGGCAGAGAGAGGGAGACACAGAATCCAAAGCAGGCTCCAGGCTCTGAGCTGTCAGCACAGAGCCTGACGTGGGATTTGAACCTACAGACCATGAGATCTTGACCTGAGCTGAAATCAGATGCTTAACCAACTGAGCCACCCAGGCGCCCCTAAAATATACAACTTCTAATATATGGTTTTGGGGTCAAGACATTTTCAGGAAAATCTCTTATTTTTATGGTCCTAAGTCCTGGATGTTGAAAATTTATCTTTAGCATGATGACCTGAAGATCATTCTTGTGTCCTACAGAATGTTCAGTCATCATTAACAAATGTGACCAGTCATGTTCACTCTGACAGACTAAAGCAGAGAGATATACTCAAAAAATTATAATTATCAACCATAAAACCTTTGATAATTATCACCCAGTTTCCTAGCAGCTTCGTTCATTGAAGTTTCTATATTAGGCACCTCAGAAAATAACACTGGAAAGGGCTGGAAAGAATACTCATAATTGTCCATGAAAAACAGGTAACCTGTATTGCATGCTTCTGCTTACTATTTGATGGGACACTACATTAAGCATTTTACAGATGAGGAAATAAGCTCAGACCAAGGGAAAGTGGTGGCCGTGGAGTATGAACTGAGACCTGTCTGATTCCAGAACCCACACTCCTAAGCATAGGTCACGCTGCCACTCAGAGGACATATTATATCATTAGTAAGGCAGAAAAACTTCCCATGGTTTGTTTCATGTCCCTCGGGAGTGAAAAAAAAAAAAAAAGCCATCTAGCTAGCCTGTGAAAGGGCTTATTTCCATGAGATTGTAAGTGCTGATCTTTATAAAAGTTCCTCTTCCACAAGTTTATCGGTGATGTGCCCCAAGGTAGAGTCACCAGAAAGAAGGAACGTGAGTCCCTGCTCCTAACACCTGGAATAGACTGAGTCTTCCACCTCCTAGGACCTACATGAGGAGGCAGTGAGAAGAGACAGGAAGCAGAACGGCAGCAAGAGAACAGGAACAAAAGTGGTGCTAGGGCAGCAGTGGAGAGCCTGTGTCCTGTATTCTTCCAGCATATACTAATCTCCCTGGAAAGAAGAAAGTATTGCCGGTTCATCATATGTATGGTAAGGACTGCTTATGTTTGACTTGCAACTATTCATTCAATGCGTACCTCATAGGTCCGGTACAATGCCAGAAAACAACGTCACAGCATCAGTGTCTCTCTTTTTTTTTTTTTTAATTTTTTTTTCAACGTTTTTTATTTATTTTTGGGACAGAGAGAGACAGAGCATGAACGGGGGAGGGGCAGAGAGAGGGAGACACAGAATCGGAAACAGGCTTCAGGCTCCGGGCCATCAGCCCAGAGCCTGACGCGGGGCTCGAACTCACGGACCGCGAGATCGTGACCTGGCTGAAGTCAGACGCTTAACCGACTGCGCCACCCAGGCACCCCCATCAGTGTCTCTTAAAAAGGTAAAGATGCTTGCCCTCCTGGAGTTTACATTAAGGGGTAGGAGGAAAATGATAACAATAATGATAATAAATTACCTTACACAGTCATAAGTGCCATAGATAAAGGAAAAGGGGAACGATAAGGGGGTACTAGAAGTGCCAAGATCATATTTTGCTCATTCACTCAAGAAATAGTTATCGAACATCTGTGTGCCTGGAGGGTGTGGCAGTAAACAGGTCCCTACTCTGTAGGAGCTCATGGTTTAAATCTCCACTGAAACAAGTAAGTCAAGGGACTAGGTTAATCAATAGTGGACTAAGACAAGCCATGACAATTCAAGTGGTGGGTACCACCAGGAGTTGAACTGAAACAATTACAGTCATAGGGAATACCAGACAACACTTACCAGTGATGTTGAATTGAGTGAAAAAAAAAAAATTTTTTTCTTGAATTTGCCACCATCTGTAATTATGTATCTGTTGAAAAAGCATATTCCAGGGGTGCTTGGGTGGCTCAGTCAGTTAAGGATCTGACTGTCTTGATTTCAGCTCAGGATCTCACAGTTTGTGAGTTGGAGCCATGCTTTGGGATCTATGCTGACAGTGCAGTACAGAGCCTGCTTGGGAATCTCTCTCCTCCCTCTCTCTGCTCCTCCCTGGCTTGCTTTCTCTTTCTCTTAAGAATAAATAAACTTTAAAAATCCTTGGAGTTAAAAAAACAAAAACATATTCTGGGGCAAGTGGAAACATGCCCACGTAAGAACACCACATCCCCCTCCAATTTTAATGGAGTAATGGATTTTGTCAAAGAAAGGATAAGGTATAAAAAATATATTTTTATTCTAGTTTGGCATAGTTTGGCATAGTCGCATGCAAGTCTTTTCCACTGATTACAACTAAAAACTAGACCAAACACAAAAGAAACTATCTGAGGACCCTAGGGGGAAAAAAAAAAAGCATGTGGATTGTGGAAGAGTCACCTAGACAGAGGAATGAAGGTAAAATAAAATCATCCTCAGATGAAGAAAAATGAAGAGAATTTATTGTCAGCAGGCCTACTCTACAAGAAATGCTAAAGGAAGTTCCTCATAGTGAAGGAAAATGATACCAGAAGGAAAAACTTGGATCTCTGGGAACGAAGGAAGAATAACAAATGATAAAAATCTAGATAAATAAAAGACTTTTTCCCGTCCTACATTCTTTAAAATATATATATATTTGAAAGCAAAAATTGTAACATCATCTACGGAGGGTTTTGATGTATGTAAATGCAATTCATGTGACAACTATAACAAAATTTGGGGGTCAAGGACCCATATGGTTGCCATGCTTCTACTTATTACGTGAAGCTTATACTTGTTACAAAATGAAGAATTTTGTATTCTTCTTCTAAGCAGATTATGAAAAATTAGGTATGTATATTGTAATTCCTGGAGTAACTACCAAAAACAAAAAGAAAACCTAAAGAGGCATACCAGTCCAAATTCCAATAGGTAAAATATTCAAATAATCCAAAAAAAAGGCAGGAAAGGGAAAACAGAGATTTAAAAAGAGGAGCAAACATAAAACATAACAGGGTCAACCTGAATCCCACCATTAGCAGGAATTACATTAAATATTAGCAGTCTACGGGGTGCCTGGGTGGCTCAGTCGGTTAAGCAGCCATCTCTTGATCTCGGCTCAGGTCATGATCTCACGGTTCATGAGTTTGAGCCTCACATTAGGCTCTGCACTGATGGAGTGGAGCCTGCTTGGGATTCTCTATGTCTCCCTCTCTCTCTGTCTCTCCCCTGCTTGTGTGTTCTCTCTCAAAATAAACTTAAAAATATATATATTAACGGTCTCTAAATAATCCAGTTAAAATTGACAGAGTGAATTTTTAAAAGGACTATATGCTATCTATAAGAGACAAACTAAATATTAAAGACACAGATAAGGTGAAAGTAAATGATTGGGCCCTGGAGTCTTGTTTTTTGGAAGATTTTTGATTACCAATTCTATTTCTTTACTGGTTATGGGTCTGTTCAACTTTTCTTGTTTCAGTTTTGGTAGTTTAAATGTTTCTAGGAATTTGCCCATTTCTTCCAGATTGTCATTTTATTGGTGTATAATTGCTCATAATATTCTCTTATTATTGTTTGTATTTCTGCTGTGTTGGTTGTGACCTTTCCTCTTTCATTCTTGATTTTATTTATTTGGTTCCTTTCCTTTTTCTTTTTGATCAAACTGGTGAGGGATTTATCAGTTTTGTTAATTCTTTCAAAGAACAAGCTCCTGGTTTCATTGATCTGTTCTGCTGGTTTTTTGTTGTTGTTGTTGTTTGGCTGGTTGGTTTCGATTTCTGCTCACTTTCTGCCTTTATGCTGTTTTTGTGTTTTATTTGCTGTTATTTTTCCAGTTCTTTAAGGTGTAAGGTTAGGTTGTGTATCTGAGACCTTTCTTCCTTCTTTAGGAAGGCCTGGATTGCTATATACTTCTCTCTTACGACCGCCTTTGCTGTGTCCTAGAGGCGTCGGGCTGTGGTGTTATCATTTTCATGGACTTCCATGTACTTTTTAATTTCCTCTAAAAACTGAGAGCTTTCCCCCTAAGCTCAAGAACATGACAGGGATGTTCACTCTCACCAGTTATTCAACATAGTCTTAGCCTCCAGTCAGACAACACAAAGGAATAAAAGGCATCCAAATTGGCAAGGAGGAAGTCAGACTTTCACTCTTTGCAGATGACATGATACTCTATATGGAAAACCCAAAAGATTCCACCAAAAAACTGCTAGAACTGATCCATGATTTCAGCAAAGTCGCAGGATATAAAATCAATGCACAGAAATCAGTTGCATTCCTATATACCAATAATGAAGCCACAGAAAGAGAAATCAAGGAATCAATCCCATTTACAATTGCACCAAAAACCATAAAATACCTAGGAATAAACCTAACCAAAGAGATGAAAAATCTGTACACTGAAAACTATAGAAAGCTTATGAAATAAATTGAAGAAGACACAAAAAAATAGAAAAAGATTCTCTGCTCCTGGACAGGAAGAACAAATATTGTTAAAATTACCCAAAGCAATCTACATATTCAATGCAATCCCTATCAAAATAACACCAGCATTCCTCACAGAGCTAGAACAAACAACCCTAAAATTTGTATGGAACCAGAAAAGACCCCAAATAGTTAAAGCAATCCTGAAAAAGAAAAACAAAGCTAGAGGCATCACAACCCCGGACTTCAAGATGTATTACAAAGCTGTAATCATCAAGACAGTATGGTACTGGCACAAGAACAGACACTCAGATCAATGGAACAGAATAGAGAACCCAGAAATGGACCCACAAACATATGGCCAACTAATCTTTGACAAAGCAGGAAAGAATATCCAATGGAATAAAGACAGTCTCTTCAGCAAGTGGTACTGGGAAAACTGGACATTGGCATGCAGAAGAATGAACCTGGACCACTTCCTTACACCATACACAAAAATAAACTCAAAATGGATGAAAGACCTAACTGTAAGACAGGAGGCCATCAAAATCCTAGGGGAGAAAGCAGGCAAAAACCTCTTTGACCTCGGCCACAGCAATTTCTTACTCAGCACATCTCCGGAGGAAAGGGAAACAAAAGCAAAAATGAACTATTGGGACCTCATCAAAACAAAAATCTTCTGCACAGCGAAGGAAACAATCAGTGAAACTAAAAGGCAATGGATGGAATGGGACAAGATATTTGCAAATGACATATCAGATAAAGGGTTAGTATCCAAAATCTATAGAGAACTTATGAAACTCAACACCCAAAAAACAAATAATCTAGTGAAGAAATGGGCAAAAGACATGAATAGACACTTCTCCAAAGAAGACATCCAGATGGCTGACAGACACATTAAAAAATGCTCAACATCAGCCATCATCAGGGAAATACAAGTAAAACCACATGAGATACCACCTCACACCTGTCAGAATGGCTAACATTAACAATTCAGGCAATGACAGATGTTGGTGAGGATGCAGAGAAAGAGGATCTCTTTTGCATTGTTGGTGGGAATGCAAACTGGTGCAGCCACTCTGGAAAACAGTGTGGAGGTTCCTCAAAAAATTAAAAATAGACCTACCCTATGACCCAGCAATAGCACTGCTAGGAATTTACCCAAGGGATACAGGAGTACTGATGCCTAGGGGCACTTGTACCCCAATGTTTATAGTAGCACTCTCAACAATAGCCAAATTATGGAAAGAGCCTAAATGTCCATCAACTGATGAATGGATAAAGAAATTATGGTTTATATACACAATGGAGTACTACATGGCAATGAGAAAGAATGAAATATGGCCCTTTGTAGCAACGTGGATGGAACTGGAGAGTGTGATGCTAAGTGAAATAAGCCATACAGAGAAAGACAGATACCATATGTTTTCACTCTTATGTGGATCCTGAGAAACTTAACAGAAACCCATGGGGGAGGGGAAGGAAAAAAAAAAAAAGAGGTTAGAGTGGAAGAGAGAGCCAAAGCATAAGAGACTCTTAAAAACTGAGAACAAACTGAGGGTTGATGGGGGGTGGGAGGGAGGAGAGGGTGAGTGATGGGTATTGAAGAGGGAATCTTTTGGGATGAGCACTGGGTGTTATATGGAAACCAATTTGACAATAAATTTCATATATTAAATAAAAAATAAATAAATGAAATAGAGGATAAACAACAAAGAAACCATCCAAGCCAAAAGTTTATTCTTTGAAAAGAGCAACCAAATTGACAAATTCCTGGCTAGACTTACCAAGAAAAAACAAATTGCCAGTATCAGGGGTGAATAGGGGAGTTATCATCACAGATCCTACAGATATGAAAAGGATAATGAGAGAAAACTATGAATAACTTCATAGCAACAAATTTGACAACCTGAATGAAATACACTTATTTCTTAAAAAACCAACTTAACCAAAATTGACACAAGTAGAAATAGAAACTTAATAGCCCTATATCTTTAAATTTTTTGAATTTGTCATAAAAAGTTTCTCCAAGAAAAAACTTCAATTCCAGACAGTTTCACTAGTGAATTCTATCAACATTCAAGGAAGAAGTAACACAAACCTTACACAATTTTTTTCAAGACATAAAGAAGACAGGATCACTACCCAACTTGTTGTGTGTATATGTAATATCAAAACCTGACAAAGAAGGGGAGAGGGACAGACAAAATAGGTGAAGGGGATTAAAAGGTACAAACTTCCAGTTATAAGTAAGTCATGGAGATGAAAAGTACAGCATAGGAAACACAACAGATGGTGACTACATTTGTGGTAAGCACTGAGTAATGTATAGAATTGTAGAATCACGTACACCTAAACCTAATATGACATTGTATATCAACTATACTTCAATAATAAAAAATCTGGAAAGACTTTATCAAAAAAAAAGCAAAATATAAGTGAATGTACCTTATAAATATGGATATAAGATTGCTTAATAAAATATTAGCAGATGGAAACTAGCAATATTTTAATTTTTTTTAAATTTTTTTTAACATTTATTTATTTTTGAGACAGAGAGAGACAGAGCATGAATGGGGGAGGGTCAGAGAGAGAGGGAGACACAGAATCTGAAACAGGCTCCAGGCTCTGAGCAGTCAGCACAGAGCCCGACGTGGGGCTCAAACTCACGGACCGCGAGATCATGACCTGAGCTGAAGTTGGACGCTTAACCGACGGAGCCACCCAGGCGCCCCGAAAACTAGCAATATTTTAAAAGATTTGTATTACAGGACGCCTGGGTGGCTCAGTCAGTTGAGATTCTGACTCTTGGTTTTGGCTCAGGTCATGATCTCATGGTTCATGGGTTTGAACCCTGCGTAGGGCTCTGTGCTGACAGTGCAGAGCCTGCTTTGTATTCTCTCCCCCTCTCTCTGTCCCTCCCCCACTCACGTACTCTCTCTTCCTCTCTCTCTCAAAAATAAACATTAAAAAAAAAGGTTGGTAGTACACAATGAACAAGAAAGGTTTATCTCATAAATACAAAGTTGATTTAACACTTGAAAATCAATGTAATCACTATATTAACAAAATAAGTGGGAAATTCATGAAATCATTTCAGTAGAAGCAGAAAAAGCATTTGGAAAAAGTTCTACATCCATTCATTAAAAAGATAAAAACCAAGAACTCCTAGCAAATTAAGAATAGCAGGAGGGGCACCTGGGTGGCTCAGTCAGTTGAGTTTCCGACTTCAGCTCAGGTCATGATCACTGGTCCATGATTTAGAGCCCCACATCAGGCTCTGTGCTGACAGCTCAGAGCCTGGAGTCTGCTTCAGAATCTGTGTCTCCCTCTCTCTCTGCCCCTCCCCTACTCATGCTCTATCTCTCTCTGTCTCTTTCAAAATAAATAAATATTAAAAACAGACTGAGGGAGGCTATCCCCCTATTTCTAAGCTTATAATATCTTTTCCTATGTATTCTTTTCATGTGATCTTCTTGCGCATACACTTGACCTTCTTTGGTTGGGTTGTTGACCTTTTTCTGAATCATTTTTGAGTCTATACCTGTCCTAGACCAGGAAACTAACATACTACCATAATTCCTCATTGATTTTTCAGTCTCTATGAGTGAGAAAGTACTGTGGTTAGCAGAGAAGTCTCAAAGAAAACAGGAGTTTAGAGAGAAAAGAGTAAATTATTAAAACAAAATTTTTTAAACACTTATTTATTTTTGAGAGACTGAAAGAGACAGAGCATGAGCAGGGGAGGGGCCCAGAGAGAGGAAGACACAGAATGTGAAGCAGGCTCCAGGTTCCAAGCTGTCAGCTCAGAGTCTGACATGGGGCTTGAACCCTCAAACCGTGAAATAATGACCTGATCCGAAGTCAGACGCTTAACAGACTGAGCCACCCAGGCTCCCCTCATCTTAAATACACATAAATACCAAATTATTAAAATGTTTAAAGTTTGAGAAAATCAGTTAAGGGCACGGGGAGAAAAAGGTACTTTCATGTACCATTGACGTTGAGTATAAGCATGACATTTTTGGAGGGTGGTTTGTCAGGATCAGGACTAAAAATGCATATACCCTTTGACCTATTTATATGGTAGAAATTTACTAAATTACTTGCAAAAGCATTTATACATCTAGAAAAATGTTTGTGGACACACCGTTTATAATAGCAAACTACCAGAAATAATCTAATCACAGTAGGGGAACTGGACTGATTCTTTACAGAACTCCCATAACAATAGAATATTTGTTCAAAATATAGATGTGAATTGTAGGCACCTTTTAACTAAAGATATACTGCACAGGGGTGCATTAGTTGGGGAAGAAACAGTGCCTAACAATGTATGCTAACATGGGTAGAAAGACCCTAATTTTTAAAGAGGAGATATGTAGGGGCGCCTGGGTGGCGCAGTCGGTTAAGCGTCCGACTTCAGCCAGGTCACGATCTCGTGGTCTGTGAGTTCGAGCCCCGCGTCGGGCTCTGGGCTGATGGCTCAGAGCCTGGAGCCTGTTTCCGATTCTGTGTCTCCCTCTCTCTCTGCCCCTCCCCCGTTCATGCTCTGTCTCTCTCTGTCCCAAAAATAAATAAACGTTGAAAAAAAAAATTTTTTTTAAATAAAAAAATAAAGAGGAGATATGTAGATATATGGCTTACCTGGAGATTTAGGTTTCTGAAGAAAGCACAAACTGCTAACTGCTCCTGAAGAACCAGGAAGGCGGAAGGCACTTCTTCCCACGCTGTGTTCCTCGTCTAACCATGGGTGTGCGTTATTTTGCATATTTATTTTTAAGGTCAACAGGATAGTTGTTTTCTTTATAGGACTTTTTGTTTTGCAAATTATTTATTTATATATTTTTTAATTTTTTAAACGTTTATTTTTGAGAGAGAGAGAGTTTCCGAGCATGAGTGGGGGAGGGGCAGAGAGAGGGAGACACAAATCTGAAGCAGACTCCAGGTTCTGAGCCATCAGCACAGAGACCAACCCAGGGCTCAAACCAATGAACCCTAAGATTATGACCTGAGCCTAAGTTGGATGCTTAACTGACTGAGCCACCCAGGTGCCCCTTATTTATATATTTTTAAAAGCTTATTTATTTTGAGAGAGGGGGGTTGTGGAAGGACAGAGAGAGAGGGAGATTGAGAATCTCAAGCAGGCTCCACACTATCAAGCACAGAGACTGCTGCGGGGTTCGAACCTACGAACCGTGAGATCATGACCTGAGCCGAAACCAAGAGTTGGACACTTAATCGACTGAGCCACCTAGGTGCCCGTTTTGCAATTTAAAAATTGAATTTTAAAACCCTGAAGTTAGAAAATAATTACCTTCTTCCTTCCCCCACCCCTCCAGAGAGGACACAAAGCAGCATTTCCAAGTTTTTTCAGAGAAGGAACTGCAGCAAAAGGTGGGGGAAAGACCCAGCCTCGCTTAGCACATGCCAGGCCCAATCACGACCCCTTCTCCATCACAAACCAGGTCAGTGATGTGGACCTTCAAATATCTCCTTTCCTTTCTTTTTGGTACATTAAGTGGTGTCCAAGTACAGGTGACCCTTGAACAAATGGGTTTCAAAACTGCGTGGGTCCACTTACATGTGGACTTTTTTCAAGACGGTATGGTACCGTAAATCTATTTTCTCTTATTATTTTCTTAAGGACATTCTTTTCTCTAGCTTCGTTCATTGTAATAATATGGTATATAGTGCATAGAAGACACAAAATGTGTTAAGCAATTATTTATGTTATTGGTAAGGCTTCCAGTCAACAGCGGACTATTAGTAGTTAAGGTTATGGAGACTGAAAAGTTATACACAGATTTTTAACCACGGGGTGGGGTGGGGTGCCGCAAACCCTGAATTGTTCAAGGGTCAACTGTAACCTCCCCCCAACCCACCCTCCCACCTTTTGGGTACAGATTCCGTATGGATCACAAGTCAGAACAGTGAGAGGTGTAGCCTATTTTTTGGTCATTGTTCCTGTGCCCAATAGTAACAAGGGAGAAGGTGTGCCACTGGTTTCACTCAGGTGGAGAGAAGTCCTTTTGAAAAACAAAGGTACTTTTTGGGCAAGAGTTGGCCTAAAGCTTTGTGATTTATTTTTTTTTAAACCCTCAAGTTGGAATGGTTATTTTTTTTTTTTAATGTTTATTTATTTTTGAGAGGAAGAGACAGTGTGAGCAGGGGAGGGGCAGAGAGAGGGGGGGAGACACAGAATCCGAAGCAGGCTCCAGGCTCTGAGCTGTCAGCACAGAGCCCGATGTGGGGCTCGAACTCACAAACCGTGAGATCATGACCTGAGCCAAAGTTCGACATTTAACCAACTGAGCCACCCAGGAGCCCATGCCCATGGAATGGTTACTTCTGCTGTAGTCTGATGGCACATATACAGCGTGGATTCTCTGTATGGTCCCTGAATCAAGTCCCGGTCATCATTGCTGGTCAGGGAAAAGGGCTGTCTCTTGACTTCCCACATTTATGAAACCCCATACCCAAAAGGGCAAAATATCTAGAGACCTGATTCATCCACACAATGTTTTTACTTTTATTCAACTATAAGCAAACAGCATAATTAACACAATAGTCCGCAACCCCAGATCGGCTTTTCTTACACAGACGAAGAGTGACCAGTTCAACAGGTAGACAACTTAGGGATTTTTGACAAACTCGCTCAGCCCTGTAGTTCATCTAAATGGCAGTGCCTTAACCGCAAAGCAACTCTGCCTATTGCTTTTTCCAATACTGCTATTTCAAGGAGGCAGAGCAGGACACTTACTCCTAGTAAATAGTCTGAGATGTTGGGGGTTAGTGGACACACCAGCCTCTGGCTTTCTTGGTGAGAGACATGGCCGTGGAAACATGACCCAGAAGTGCCATCATGCACAATTCCAGACTCAGCTCACAAAGGCAGAGGCAACGAATCTTTTTCTTTTTTTTTTTTTTTTTAAACCTCCCTTCAAGAGTCTTTGATGCTCTGCTCTATTACTAGAAGACCTGGTCTTTTTACCTGAATTTTTTCTTTCTTAAATTCTGGGTTGCTACTCTCATATTAACAATGTGATGACCCCATCCTGGTACCAATATATCCCTCACAAAGGAGTTCAAATTTGATCAAAACATAAACTGGGATGTGACTCTCTGAAATTATAAAAGGACAGGCAGAAGGAAAAGTCACTCTAAACCACTATCTGATTGCTCAGGCCTCACCTGTGAGGATGGGACACGGGAAAGCAGAGAAATCTACATGCAACACTGAACTTGAGAACACTGCTCCAGACCTCCAGGATGCTTTCTGTCTCCTAGCATTTCCCTACTTCCCAGACAGCTGCTCATAGAGTTTGGGCACATAGTCATCCCATTCAGCTTGGTAACATGTACCGGCCACCGGGGGCCCAAGCTCGTACTTTTTGCGGAAAGATGCCACTTTGAATTTGCCACGGTGGTCTCCAGATCGGTTGCTGAGAATGGGCTCGTCACACTTCAGCGGCCCGTTCTGCTCGTAAACCAGCCAGACGTAGCGGTGAAGGCCTGGAGGGAACATGCATACACAGCTAGGCGTCAAGGATGGAGAGGTCACCCATGTTCATGTTCAACGTGCCAACTGGGAGGGACCCAGCCACCCCACTGACAAGAGGGACACTGAGGACCCGCAGAGGTAGGAGTCAGGACACTCACCTGCTGAAAACCCACTGCAATTGGCATGAAGTCCACAGCTGGCAGCAGGGCCTGGGCCTGGCCCTTGCTCACCCCTCCTACCACCTCTGCCCCCCACTCATCTCATTCTGGGCTCCCAGCCCATCTCCACTGGGACCTGATTGCAAGTCATCTTCCACCACCCCCATCTGAACACCCACTTCACTTCTGCCGTAGTAACACTCCTCTAAGAGTCTTACTTTTCAGTTTAGTCTCCTCACTTGAAAAGAGCTCCATAAAGCTATGCTGTTTGTCTAGCTGACCGTCTTCACCGCAGGACCTACCCTAGTGCCTGGTAAAACTCACTGCAACCAACTAAGTAGCAAAGATGCTGAAAAACAACTAGTGTTCAAAGGTGCTTACAGGATCACCTTTATCTGTCAGTCAATATTCATGGACTAAACCAACTATGGTCTGGGTATTTTTTGCTATGCATATTGTACTTTACTAAAAGAATATTTTTTAAAAAGCAACAGGGGAAAAAAAAGTCAGTCACTGAAGCTTTTTTTGCTAATGAGAACACAGCTCCTACTCGAGAGAATTGCTTTATTCTCCTGTGTGTACTTCCCATAATTAAACTGCCTAATTATATAACTGCCCTAGAGAACTTAATCGATCCCTGGAAAAGATGTACCTTTACTTTCCTCTTATGAATACATGAGAGGGCCTGAAGCCATCTGAAGCTTCAGGGTCTACAGATAAAGCATGAGCCTATGGCCAACTGTTCTTGTCGGGAACCTTCCTGTACCTCTTCAGACTAACATGGCTGGACAGTGTTTCCAACCACCTGACTTCCTTACTCCAGCAAATGAAAGCACCCTGTAATGCACAACAGGTGTAACATCTGACTTGGGGAAGTTTCAGTATAGTATTCTCCCTCTCTTTGTAACACAGCACATGTAATCTGTAACATAACACCACACAACATATGTGCGTATCTTTAGTATACTTCTTGCTTCCAAGTCTTTTCAAGAGGATACCACCCTACACTTGCAACAGAAAGGAGCTATAAAGAGATAAAGAAGCCAGTTCTTTATAACAAATTTGGAAACTATGGTAACTTCTGAGGTCTTCCATGGGAACCGGCGAAGGCTGAATGTAGAACTCAGATGGGTTAACTGTGTTCCATCCACGTGCAGCGGCATGGCACTGCCACCCCCACCGCCCACCCCCGGAAACTGTTCCAAGCTTTCTGCAACACTGCTTCCTCGGAATGCTCTCACCGATTTCCCTGCATATGATGGCCTAGTGGCTGAGAGGCAATCATTAACAGAGGTGCCATCTGACCAGAACCCAAGGTTCTAGCCACCTGACGTCACTGCAGGTCTCAATGTCTCTGGCAGGCAACTGCCTTGGAGGTTGAACTGCACTGCCTGAAAGCCCCACTAGGCTAAGGGATCTCTGAGAACCAAACTAAAACTTGCAGCCCTTTGGGCCACTCCTAATGTGCACCCACTACCCCCGCCTGCCTCACCCCCCAAAGCAGCTTTTACTGACCTGTACCCTTGGGAGGCCCAGAGCCGACGTAATCAGAGAGGACTGTGCCACTGCTAATGTCGTTGCCCTTCATGTTGACCACCAGAAAATGGTGCCATTCCCTATAATGAGGAACACAGGACAGTCAACACACAGGAAATTAGTACACACTCACTGCACAGTCAGCAAGTGTGCACGAAGCACAGGCTCTGGGCCAGGATGCAGCGATGACACAGACAGACAGACAGTCCTGCTTTCTTGGCCAGCACAAACCTCACCACTCTGCACAAGAGAGGGCCCAATACCTCCCTCTGAGATTTTCTAGGCAGTATCTGCAAACACTTTCTGGAAAGGGCCAGACAGTAAATGGTTTAGGCTTTGCCGTTCATATTGTCTCTGTCACTATCCAATTCTGTGGCGATAGTGTGAAAGCTGCCATTAACAAGACATAAATAAGTTATCGTGGCCGTGTCCCAACAAAACTTAATATGTGAACACTGAAATTTGAATTTCTTGTAGCTTTCACATGTTACAAAGCATTATTCTTTCAATTTCAATCACTTAAAAATGTAAAAACCATTCTTGGCTCATGGGGCTATACAAAAATAGGTATGAGACAGATGTGGCTCTGGGCTACAGTTTCTAGACTGCTGCACTAGGGACTGAGAGGTAGGAAATGCACACTCTGGCTTAAGCATGGGTGTGGACATCCCAAACTGGGTCTATTCTCCTGGCACAGCATGCCAGAGAGCACTAGGTCATATTTGGATGACCTGGTGTTCCTGGTGTTCTCCGTCTTTCCCCAACTTGCCTGTATTTGGGGTCCTTCCTGCTGGGAGCATCTGGGTCTGTCATGACCAAGGTGTAGAGTTTACCTGGATCAAGGCCATCCCATGCAATACTGGTGGGCCGGTTTTTAACCTGTAGGAAGGAAGCAGTGTGGAGTTAAAAAGTCGGAAATGCAGAAGCCAACACTCTTTGATTTCAGGTTCCTCAAAGGTAACACACAGTAGATTATTAATAAAAGCTAAAGTTTTTTGATTCTGCTGAGAGCCAGGAGCTTACTAATATACATTATTTATTTTAGTCCCAACCACACTACAGGGCTGTCACCCTAGCATGTTATTAACAGAAAGAGGTGGGGTCCGAATTTAAACCCTGCCGCTGACTGAGTCCTCTAAACTGCAACCTCACATGGTCTGGAATGACAGGTCCTCTAGATTTTGTGACCAGGAGCTTAGCTGGGGCTTGCTAAAGTGCAATCTGAATTAACTGGACACTTAAAAGTGCACAGAAAATGAGAAAGTCCAGGTGGCCCAACTGCATAGTGAGTCTGGGAAAACGTGGGCTGGAGAGAGGCACTTTATTTAAAACAATAAGCTCTGTAAACATCCAACACAGTACGCTGTCAAAACAGTTTATTCACACCATTGCCCCGGAGCTTCATGACCAATAACTAGCAAGTGTCTGGCACTCGTTTCTCCGCTTGCAGCAGCCAGGGCCTGGTCTGGTCTCAGGCCGGGGCGTTGGAGGCCAAACGGTAGAACACTGCATGCTGTTGCCCTCGAGCATTCCAGATGCAGAACGAACTTAGAACTTACCTTCGGGTGGCTTCTTGCTCTTGCCCGCTAAGACAAACGGAGGAATCCGGGGGCGATACCGGTCACCGGTTACATAATGCGTCACATGGCCTCGGGTGGGGCCTCTGCCACCCAAACTGTGGCCTAAAATTCTGGGACCCGAGGGGTGGCTCTGGGGCAGCCGGGGCGACCTCGGCCATCACTTCCCGGGCACCGCCCCCTCCCCGCCCCTGCCCCCAAGGCCCAAGCAATTTCTGGGCCTAGGCCCCGGCCAACACCACGAAGTAAGTCCCTGCAAAGTAGATCACTTTCTCCTGCAGGCGGAGCCCCGCCCGCCACGTGCTGCGGTCCCGGGGCCCGCAGGTGTCTGCAAGCCTGCAGCGTGGGCACCGCGACCCCCTTCCCTCTGAGGATCCGGCGCACAGAGGCCGGAACATCCTTCCCATCTCCGCCGGGTCCCCTCCCCGAAGGCCTCCAGGCCTGGAGCAGAGACACGCCCGCCGCCCTCGGGTACCTGGGTGGGCGTCAGCACTTTGCCCAGCTCGTCGACCTCCGCCCCCGTGTATTTGACCTGCAGCGGATGCTGCGGCCGCTCGTCCACTTCCTGCAGGCTCAAAGGCCCGGACCACTTGCTGAGGTCAACCGGCATCGCTGAGCCGAGGTGGGCAGACGGCGGAGAAGAGTCGCGGGAGGTAAGGGCACAGGCCTACAACAGCAACTCCCAGCAGTCGGCGAGCTGGCGGGAGGAGGCGGAGGAGGCGCGGGACCAGCAGCCGTGGAGACGCATGCGCCGGAGCCACAGCCTTGCCCTTCCCCTATCCTCCAATCACAGGCGAGGCCCGGCCTACTCTGCTCTCTAATTGGTCAAAACCGGTAGCACGGGGCGTCTCGCAGTCCCAGGTCAATGCAGTAGGTTTTGCCTTTCTTTTTGCACTGAGGGTAGTTGCTAACCCGCTGCAGTAGCAGATTTCCAAGTTGCTGTGCCTCGATTTGCAAGACTGTTGTATCAAGAAATGCAATTAAACTAGCTTTTATATATACATATATATATATATATTTTACCATTTTGCATGATTCTTGCTCTATTTTTTAAATACAGAAATGATAAGTCCTTGCTTCTTTTCCCACTTCTTACAGCAAACCTGGTTGCCCTCACCGCCCTGTACTTTTTGCGCATGCTCACGTTTTGGTGACTGCCAAGTGAGAGGGCCTGAGATCGAACAGATCCGTTTTTCTAAACGGACAAATATATTTGCACATGTATTTGATTCCCCTGTACCCACTTGGTGCAAACAAGATTCCTGGGAAGTGATTTTCTTTTTTAACTTTTTAAACCATAATGATTCCTGTGTTGCTGACAATGGGCTCTGCCTCTGCCAGAACTGCTTTCATGGTGGCCACCAAATGCTTTCTTTTTACTAAATGTAATGGGCACTATTTAACAGTCCTTAACCAATTTGACCTTAGGACAGTTTTTGACATTGATTACCACCTCTCTCCTCGCCCCCAGGTAATTAAAAATTGTCTGTTGTTTTCTTAATGGTAAGAATACAAGTTCATTGTAGAAAATTCGGAGGAAAAAAACCCTAATGAATTAAATTAAAATCATTTCTATTACACTACATGGATATAAGCATCAGTTAACAATAATTTCGTTCTGTTTATTCATTAATATAAAAATTGCATTAACCTCCAACATTATGGAATATATCAAAAAGGTATCAAAGTATATATCAAAACTATCAAATCAAAAATAAATCATTATATAATGGCTTATTCGGTTCTAAATGCACCATAATTATTCAACAATCCTCTTGATGTTGGACATTTATGTTTTTTGTTGTTTTTTCCTTTTACAAACATCAAGGAAATGAACATCTTTATGCACATATATTAATGAGGGGCGCCTGGGTGGCTTAGTTGGTTAAGCGTTGGACTTCGGCTCAGGTCATGATCTCACTGCTCGTGAGTTTGAGCCCCACATCGGTCTCTGTGCTGACAGCTCAGAGCCTGGAGCCTGCTTTGGCTTCTGTGTACCCCTCTCTCTCTCTCTGCCCCTCCCCTGCTCAAATTCTGTGTGGCTCTCAAAAATAAACATTAAAAAAAAAAAAAACTTGGTAGGTAGTTTCAGGAAAATTTTATTAGGGATGTACTAGGCCAAAGAATACTCCAATGAGGACTGTCATTTACTGACGGTCAGCACTACCCTACGCCAGGCCCTAACTGAAGGGAGGCCTTGAAACTCAGTCTCATTACATCATCACACCAACCCAAAGTGGAAGGCACTGCTGTTACCCCATTCCATAGATAAATAAACTGAGGCTTGGAAAGGTGTAAGCCTGCCTGGCTACAAAAGCCAGACGCAAAGCCCTTAGGCACACCCTAGCTGGGAGTGCAAGGGTCAGGGGGGCGGGGGGTTGTAGAGGTGAGGCGGTCATGATCTGGCCTCCAGAAAGCTTCCTCTAGGAAAGGTGTTACCACGAAGAGCCCACCTGGCAACCATGAGAATGCGCCTCTTAGATCTGACTGCTAGGAGAGAATTTGGGTCCCAGCTGCTATGCTCTCTCTGCTTTTAAGCCAAGGCCGTGCTTTGGCAGACTTCCCCCACTGGCAATGACCGAGCTCTGCAGAGATACTATGGCAGAGCCTGGAGATGGGCTCCTCTGTAGTCAGGATGGACTTGCCTGCTTTCTTGGAAACTGCACCTCAGGTAGACGCTTCCTGCACAGGTCAGACAGCTCTCCCAGCCTCTTCACTCCCTCCCACTTATTTGCACAGCCATTTCCCCTAATAAGTTTTTTGCACAGCTTCTCAGATGACCAAGAGTGACACTCCCAAGTTTAAAAGACAGTATGAGGACAACCTGAAGTGGAAGTGAACTTGGAGTGTTAGGTCTTGGAACAGTGGGCAGATGGATTTTGCTGGAATGGGGCATTTGGGTAGGGGCAGGTGGATGGCATAGCAATAAGGCTGAATAAGGCTGAAGAGACACAAAAAGGAATATCCTTTTATTTTTTAACCTAGGAAAAGTTTAAAATTTTCTTCAGTTCACAAATACCCAGCCACATAGCATAATCTAAGAGCATGGGTATAGGAAACAGAACGAGTTCATATTCCAAATCACTCACCCAATACCTATGAAACCTTGTGCATGTGTGACAGGCAGAAAAATGGCCTGTCAAAGATGTCCACATCCTAACCTCAGAATCTGTGAATATTGCATGGCAGAGGGGAATTATGGTTGCAAATGGAATTAAGGTTGCTAATCAGATGCCCTTAAAATCAGGAGATTATCCTGGATTATCTGGGTGGGCCCAAGGTAATTTCAAAGGTCCTTAAATCTGAGGGGGAAGGCAGGATTGTCAAAACCAGAGTGATGCCATGTGAGAAAGACTCAACCAGCCATTGCTGGCCTTGAAGATGGAGGAAGGGACCATGAGACAAAGAGTGCCGGTAGCCTCTAGAAGCTAGAGAAGACAAGGAAACAGATTCTCCCCTAGAGCCTCCAGAGTGTACATAGCTGTGCTGACACTTTTGATTTTTAGCTCGGTGAGACCAGACTTCTAGCATCCAGAACTATAAGATAATACATCTGTGTTGTCTTAAGCCACTAAGTTTGTGGTCATTTGGTACAGTAGCAACAGGAAACTCATACAGCACGTGACTTATCCTCACGAGGCCTTAGTTTCTCCCTCTCTAAACTGGGTTTACCAACACCCCTGAAATGATCATTGTGAGGATTCCATGCAACTCATCTGATGTGCTTCACACACAGCCTGGCACCTCCAAGTAGGAAGCTATTACTTTATTAGACATTCACTGCATAAAACTCATATATAAAAATAAGCAAACATAAAATTAATTAGTTAAGTAATGTCCTTTAGTAATCCTACCACCCAAGTCAATGAACATGTTGCTGTATTTCCTTCCAGACTTCTTTCTATGCATATAAATGTGAATATGCATATATGAAAATATGATTTCAATATGACATACATGCTGTTGTGTAATTTGCCTCTCTTTGGCTTTCTCCGGTCATGTCTATAAATAAATACAGCCACACTTTTTTTAACCTGGCTTTATTTTATTTTATTTTATTTTATTTTATTTTATTTTATTTATTTTTTGAGAGAGACAGAGAGCATAAGTGAGTAAGGGGCAGACTCACCCAGGGCTTTAGTGGGGCTCGAGCTCACCTGATGTGGGACTTGAACTCATGAACTCTGAGATCATGACCTGAGCTGAAGTCAGATGCTTAACGACTGAGCCACTCAGGTGCCCAGCAACATTTTCTTTAATGTTTATTTTATTTTTTAATTTTTTAAGTTTATTTAGTTTTGAGAGAGAGACAGAGAGAGCTAATGGGAAGGGGCAGAGAGAGAGAGAGAGAGAGAGAGAGAGATTGAGAATCCAAAGCAGGCCCCTCACTACCAGCATACAGCCTAATTTGGGGCTTGAACTCACAAACCAAGCAGAAACCAAGAGTCGGATGCTCAGCCAACTGAACTACCCAGGCGCCCCAAATGTTTATTTTTGAGAGAGAGAGAGAGAGAGCACCAACAGGGTAGAGGCAGGAAGAGAAGGCAGGCTTTGTGCTGACAGCAGAGTCCGATGTAGGGACTGGAACTCACAAACTGTAAGATCATGACCTGAGCCAAAGTCAGAGACTTAACCGACTGAGCCACCCAGGTGCCCCTACAGCAACATTTTTAATAGCTGCACAAGATTCCATTGTATGGATCGTCACTTGTTTATAAACACAAACCCCCCCTTTGGAAACATGGAAGGCATTCTCACTATTATGCTCTAGAAACATCTCTGCAATACTTACCCTTTTGCATGAGGCCCTTATTGGGTTGGTTGTTTTCTCTTGAGGATAAAAAAAATGCTAAAAGTGGGTCAAAGAAAATTTACATTTTGAGTTTGAGATACCATGTTCCAGATTGGGTTGGGCCTCTGTGGTCAATTTTTAAGTGAAAAGGGTACCTAACGCTTTTATTACCCTGTCATTTATTTCAAATGTTTCAACCTCCACGAAGTTCTATATTCATGCTTTTAACAATATATGCAGAGTATGTGATCCACATAAGAATACATACATAATTCTGCATTAGCCCTCTTTTAATATTTTATTTTGAACATTTCCTGATGTTAAATACATTTCCAAAAATGTTTTCTTTAAAATGGCTGACACAGGGGCGCCTGGGTGGCTCAGTCGGTTGGGCGTCCGACTTCGGCTCAGGTCATGATCTCGCGGTCCGTGAATTCGAGCCCTGCGTCGGGCTCTGTGCTGACAGTTCAGAGCCTGGAGCCTGTTTCGGATTCTGTGTCTCCCTCTCTCTCTCTGACCCTCCCCCATTCATGCTCTGTCTCTCTCTGTCTCAAAAATAAACGTTAAAAAAATTTTTTTAATAAAATAAAATAAAATGGCTAACACAATGGGGTCATGAATTACTTAATCATGCAATCATGGCTTTTCATTTTCTCCCTTGTCAGACAACTGAGGAAAGTGGAAGTTCAGAAATTTCAGGGACTTGCTGAAGGCTGACAACCAGCTGAGAAGAAAGCCACTTCGTCTGTGCTAAGTGGTCTGCAGAGTCCAAAGCAGGTCTGGGCAGAGAGGCAGTTCTGCCAGCCAGAGCGGAAGGAGCCAAGCACTCCTGCAAATGTCCACAGTAAGTGTTTGTTTTCACCCAGAAACCAAGAAGTGCCCCAGAAATCCAGGTTAAAACCCCAGCCCTGGAGAAGTACGGAGGCTCCTGGCATA